GATGTAGGCTCTTGTTCAGTGGAAGCTGGGTTGAATTCGATGCAATTTCGTAAAATAAATTCGTTGCTCAGAGGGATTATATTGCACGGGGCACGGGTCCTCTCAACATTTGTTTACAGTGGTTAATTCTGTAACGTCAGAAAAGTGTCGTTTCAGTTTTGGCCTTGCAAAAAGGAGCTTCCGTTTCCGAAAAAGTGCAGCCGTGAAAAAGTGACGTGAGCCCGAGAACTGAAATTGCAGAAATGATCAGGAAGAAATCCCAAGGAGTTTTATAGCCAAACTGAAAATGGTCGAGGAGAAGAGTGGGGCCGGAAACGCATGGCCATGTTATTTTGTTGAGCTGACTGCATCTGGACTCGAACCTGGGTCTACTGTTTTAGTGTCTACAGTGTTGTGGCAAGGCCCTATTTCTAGATGAAGCTCACCAAGTATTCACACTGTATCCACTGAATCTTATGCAGCTCTGTGGCTTGAGCTACCTCAACGCCTGAATCTGGACGCTTTTGCGCCGATGTGCAGAAGTGGTGGTGAGTTTCCTGAACTGCACGTCTCCACAAACACGTCCAGTTTCAGGCGTTGAGGTAGCTCAACGCTGGACTGGAATGACCCCAGGCGAGATCGCCAACTTGAATTTTTTGCTATAATTTGTGTCTTCCCAAGAATGGAGAAAAACAACGAGATTGACTTCATATACGGGCGGACGGCACACTCGGTCCAAAAGCCCTGAGGGAGAGGAGAGAATGCTCACAAGCACAGGACTGCGTTCGACGTCAATCCATTGAGAGAGCGAAGCCGCTTGACGCGTGGAACGTTTTGTGTATAGCAACGGTACTCTAACTACACAACGGGCAAGTGACAGGTCCACGCCGCCGCCCTCGGCACGCGAGCCAACAGCTTTGCTTTTACTCTGAGCTTCGGCATCCACGCAACCACCCAAACTCGTCGATACGTCATCTCAGTACGTTTTTTCCATTCCCTGTGTTCTTCTCCAGGTTTCCCTTCTCGCTTTCTCTCGTTTCCTCCCTTGCGCAGAGAACCGCTGACGACTGTGGACAGGGGGATAGATAGCGCGCGGGCACACACACGCGCGCACAGACACACAACCACACACAACCACACACACACACACACACACAGAGAGAGAGAGAGAGAGAGAGAGAGAGAGAGAGAGAGAGAGAGAGAGAGAGAGAGAGA